CCACCCACACCCACACCCACAAACCCACATCCACACCCCCCCCCCCACCCACACCCACACTCACACCCACACCCCACACCCACACCCACACCCAGGTACATGAATATCCAATTGAAGAATTAGTATCACCAGTAGTTGTGATTAATGTTAATCAACAAACTGAACGTAATATAGATTATCAAATCACAAAACAAGATATTGTTAATTGGGAAAAAACGCATGGCAGTATACAGAAAGAATCATTCGTTATTGCTAATACTGGTTGGAGTAACTATTGGAATGATCCGAAAAAGTTTATAGGTTTTGATGAAAATCAGGTGCGACATTTTCCTGGATGGGGACGTGAAGCCGCACAATACTTACTCGAAAAAGGAGTGCGTGGTTTAGGTATCGATACTCTCAGTATTGATGCTGGTAATAATCCTAATTTTGATGCTCATCAAGTATTTTTAAAAGCGGATAAATACTTGGTAGAGAATATCAATATTAATATCAAAAAAAGCAGTAAATTACCAGAAGTTGGAGCAACTATATTTGTCTTACCAATACCCATCGAAAATGGTAGTGAAGCACCGGCAAGAATCATAGCATATGCATAAAACTGAACACTTTCTATTTAAACATTTTATGGTATATAACACAATTTACATAGTAACACAACTAACCATAACACTGCAATTAACTAGTGACTCATAAAGAATAGACCTTTGAATATTATGACTTAATTGTTTTTTTCTTTTCAATCCTCAAACGTTATTCTTTTTAGAAGATACCCAGTCGAATTCTCCACAAGAAACTTAATTAAACTTATTTTCGTAAAAAGTCGAGGAGAAATATTATAATGAAGGATGCTTAACATTTAAAAACAGACCAATTTTCTGAGCTATTTTGTTTTAAAAACATTTGAGTATTTTTAAGAATTCTAAAGGCACTGAAACCAAAGTGACCTTGTTGTTGCGCACTTTGAAAAATGTTCTTTTGTGCTATCTGAATTTGAAAAGAAAACTATGAGATAAACTTTCATTGTTGGATCGGATACAGGGATCATGCCTTATGAACCGAAAAAAATTCAAGTAGAAAGATGTCACACTGACTTTGTTATGAGATTTTTTTCGTGAGTTCCGCAGTTACAGATTTAAATAGCTGAATTTTTTGAACGTCTCAAAGGAGGAAAATCAATACAAGCCTGTAGGTAAGGTGCATGCAAGTCGACGTTCAAGTAAGGTATTTTTTTTTCAACTGTTTTATACATGGTTCGATAGAACTTGAGCTGCTAATTAAGAAAAGTCGGATTTTTGCGATTGTCTGATTGCATCAGTCTTCATTGTTCGAATGTTTCGATGGATAAACACTTTTCATTGTAGGTCAAGTGAAGAAGCACCTTGTTTCTTGTCTTATGACCTGATTAATCTGACTACTTTCAGCTTTTATATAGTGCCTTTTTGATTTTTACTTCATTTCTCATTTGCATCACTTGTTTTTTTATTGCATCTGTTCCAATCTCAATATTTTTTCTTTAAATATATTCTGCGGTGCATTTTCTTACTTTTAATCTCATGTAGGGTGGTGCATTTTCTTACTTTTAATCTCATGTAGGGTGGTGCATTAGAATTAACATTAGCATTAAATTAGCATTGTTTTTAACGCTATTACTTCGATCCGGAAAACAGAACAATTTCCTTGTGTTTTCCGAATCCAAGTATTAGTGTTAAAAATAATGCTAATTTACCAACCCTACTTCATACTTTTATACCAGAACGGTGAAATGAAAGATCTCAATAGATTATGATCAATATTTAAATAAACATAATGTTGGTCAAGATAATATACACTCGCACCCAACTTGATCGTGAAATTGTGTGACGCAACACTAATAAGGGCGTTGATAATTTCTTTTTCTGGATCATCGAGCATGGTATGATTGAATAAGGACGGGCAAGTAGATGTAGTTGATGGTATACTTGTCATCGATTGTTTTGTCCAGGTATTAGTATTCAAATCATACGATGTATTCTCAATTATTTAATGATCGCTTCTGCAAATGGTTCTACAACAGTCAATTGGTCGTCTACTGCGCCGTAGAATTATTTGAAAATGATTGCAGTTAAAAATTGAATACTTTTTAATATTTCTTTCCTTATCACTTTAGAGCACTTTTTGTTCAACTCTCTTTTCTGATATTATCTTGGAGATAACTAACTTTGATTATCTACTTTCTTGGTATGTGTTCTAATCTACTGCTTCATAGTAAGAATTCGAAAAAGATTCGAACAATCATTGATCAATAATACTTCTATTCATATTAAATTTCGAATGGTCTCTTCTTAAAAGAAACGGGCTATAATCAGAAATGTTAAGATAGATGTATACAAGAGTAATTGTTGTAACTGAATCTTTGAACACATGCCAATTGATAAATATTTCAGTAATAATACTGTTATTTTAGGTATTAAACCATGTGCAAGTTTAATTCATAAATAAGATAATTTTGAAATAAGATTAAATGTCGTGACCATTTTATTCAAATCTTGTTTAGTAATTTCGATTAGCAGTAATGATTAAAGATTAACAAATTGTCGAATATAAAATAACCAAAAACACGAGTGCATTTGTCAACATGTACCATCAGTATCAGATAATATCAATGATCGAACTTGTTCAGCACAAATTTATTGGCAAACAAAATTGAAACTTAGATTTTGGTCACGATTTAAAATTAATATCATATTTATCATAACTTTCTCAAATGTTTATCAATCCGTTTATTTAATCTTTTAAATGCATATAGTATGTAGTATGTAGTTAAACATTCAAATACTTGGTAAAGTACTTCATTTGGAAACAGATTGAACATCGATGATTTTAGCATCACAAAAATAATTATATTTGATAAAGAATAAAATTAACGTGTTTTGATATGTGATTGATTGTTGAATTCTAACTGATTAAAGAAATTAGCACAAAAAACATCCTTGATTGTGTGTACAATGTTTTATCCATAGAAGAGAAAAAACATGTCAGAAAAAGAAAAACAAAAAAAATT